TAATATATATAATAATTAATATATTATTATTTAAAATAACGTTCATAATTTTATGATATTAATTTTTAATTTATAACTTTTATTAAAATATTTTATATGACATTTTATGAGAAGAATAGTTATAGAATAACCAAGTTTGTTGTCAGCAATGATTAATTGAAAATTATAATATAGAATAAAAATTCTCCTTCTCCTTTAATTAAATTAAATTAATTAAATTATCAAAACATGTAAGAGTTAACATACAAAGTTAATATATTATATTATATTATGTAATATATTATGCAAAAATTTATATTAATCTATTTATAAATCATTTAAAAGGAAAATAATGAATATACTTACCATGTTTAACTAATTTATATCAGATTAGCCAGCTTTCAGAACATAAGTTTCAGTATTCATGCAATTTCTAGTTCGAATATAGGCAAATTTGGTTGGAAATCGGTTCAAAGGAATGCACAGCGGAGCATTACGGAAACATTAAGCGGACTTCGATGCATCGATGCGATTTCGGCAGGGCCTATTCGCAGAGGCAGAGAGATGCCAACTAGAGAAATGCAAATTACAACCAGTCAGACGGCATTAAGCGTTGCCATTGTTCCGCGACGTACTCCGCGTGTCGGTGGCACAGTTGCATACAGTAGCACGCGAGATATACCATCGGTGAAATTGCCTCCCCGGAAATTCTAAAGGTTTCGTTAAAGTTTCCAGGTCATATAGCTCGGAGCGTTCAAGGAAAAAGCACGGTCACGTATGAATATCCTGACCGCTTTCGGTTTCTAAGGCTATTTATTTTTTCAGAACAATTAAAAAGAGTTTTAGTGACTGCTAAAAAATTAAAAGGCTACTGCTTTTTTTCTTTTCTGCAACAACTAAAATAGAAAACAAGAATGAATTAAAACAAAATTGCAATGCATTTATACCTTCTACAAGAATAACTAGGTCATTGGTTTTGAAAATGATGATTTATAGAGAGAAGTAGTTTCTTCTATGGTCAGAATACAGTCGCTATATCTTCGAACCATGATAATATTTGGCTTTCCTTGTTTAAGAAAATTTAAAAAAATTCTGTGCAATTCTGTGATTTTTATTAGAAAGGAATTTTTTTTATATGTGTGTGCGAACTAAAACAAAAAATTAAAAGAATTAAGTTTTTTTTAAGATTAGATTAAAAGGATTAATAAAATAGTGTTACATAACCTTAAAGGATAATTCATTGATTCTTAGCGACAAAAAATTGCATTTAAATTTCACTAAATCTATCGCAATAGAAGCGATAACACAAATTTTCACCAATTATGGGCCTTGTTAAAAGAGAAAGGAGTATTTCCACGAACATAAATGTAGTTACATTCTTGCTTCCGAAACGAGACAGTAGTTTCTCTGTCACTTTACGACTTTACGACATCTTGACAGTTTGGAATTTTAAGACTATAAATCCATAAAACTCTGCAAAAGATTCAATTTATTATAAATAACATATATTTTTTAATATGTATAATTTAATAATAATAACAATACAATTAATAATAATTCAATTCAATTATTTAATAAAATTATAACTATATAAATTGAAAAATATTTTGTTGTTATTTTGGTAGAAAAGCATATCTAAAAAAATAATATAATAATAATATACAGGTAGATATTTTGAAATTCACGTAAACTGTCTATCATTACGACATACCTAAAACGGTATCTTTCTATTATCTACCTGAACTTCCCCCAACCTCAAAAATGCTACGCAACCTCGCGCGTTCGGTCTGACATAGTGCGGTGCAGCGTCCTCGAAGAAACGAACGTCTTTTATATGGTTAGTATGTTCTGTTCGAGAGAAAGCAAGATATACGAGGAAACGAGAGGGAGAATGAGAGGCACGCGGTAGAGAATGCGAGTACTTTCGTGTACCAATTGGCCAGTTTTTGTTCAAAATAGTGAATAAAAAATTATGAGACATCAATTTATATAAAAATAACAACTTATACATTATTAATAAAAATTTATAATAAAAAAATTGTTAATAAAAATTTATTAATTCCAAATCTTGTTTCTGAAAAAAATATATTCGTTTGGAAAAATAATTATTTTATTTTTTTAATTAAATCAGATTATTAATATCTAAATAATAATATGTAAATAATATAAGAAAATATTATTTTATTAAAATGAAATACTTCAAATGAATTTCCATTAAAGATAAGAATTAAAAATCAATAACAGAATTTTATAATTAAATTTTTGTTATTGCAGCTTAACGAGTTTTTATATCATATTTATAAATTTAAAATATACGTTAGTAAAATAAATTCTGATTATAAAAGAGAACTATTTTATATAGGTTAAACAATAATTGAAATAAAAGTTTATTTGGATAACGCCCAGCACAATTCTCGTGAGGACGATCGTGCAGGTTCGTGCAGATCCGGTGATGTTCGGCTCGGCACTCTCCGTGCGTGCTGCGAAGTTCATGCCGGCGGCCGAGCGATGACGTCAGCAGGCAAAGAGGCCCGTCCACGGCCAGCTCGGTAAAGCGTACGAGAGCTCTTGACGTTTCACTTCTTTGCGTACACGCTCGTATTATTTTCGGTCGGTTGTTCCATCTTTATCTGGTTGTGTTCGATAGATATTGTGAATGTTGAGTGCATATCACGTGGCGGGAAAAAGGTTTGTTTGCTACGACGCTGTTTCTTCTGTGCAATTGTAATCGAAGAGCGAGAGAGAGAAAGCGGCCGAGAGGTGGAGGAGGCGTCTGTGGCGACCTAACCTCCCAACCGGTGTATCACTGATTTTAATCGGCATTGTAGTACAGCCGTATAATCGTGTCACGCAAAGCTGTATAAATTATTGCGGAAACTAATTCGTACAAAGAACACCAAGATATCTGGTGCCCATCGTTTGACAATGAAGCCGACTTTATTCGAATGTAATTTCTAACCTCTGACGCGCCACCGGTTCTAGTATACGAAAAAAGCACGAACGAAAACGGAACGAAGCCGATGGTGCGGATAAATAAAGAGAAGAGGTGGATACTAAGTTACCTATATGTACGAACAATGCGATTTGTTTGTATGGTTAAAAAACTGTCGCGTACATATTGACATTCGCGTTCAAATCCTTTGTTTCTTTCGTTCTACGTGTTGCCTTGAGAAAATATCGTGGCCCGATTGGCGGTAGAAATTCGTTCTGGTGTGAGACGGATGAACGAGAAGCAACCTGTTTCGTATCTGTGTGAGCGTGTTCGTGTTTCTCATGGAATGCGAGAATCGTGCGTGCAGGGGCGTCTAGTACATGGTGATTTTCAACTAGCGTTGAATAAAAGTGTAGTGTTGGTGTAGACAAATACGTCTGCTCGTTATCATTTAAATGTGTTCCGTGTGAATCAGTGATCTTCCTTCAGAGGTAAAGTGACGTTTGCGCACCTAAATAGGAAGTCTTCTTTATATTTTTTTTTGGCGGGCAATACAGAAGGAATACGTGGCAATTGGGAATTCAGAATTTTTCTTATTTTTAATGCATATTGTTTTTCGCATAATAACAAACAAACATAATTCAAATATTTTCGGAAACGAACTAAAAAGTTTACATTACGGTTCTTTTTCATTAAGTGATGAATAGGTTATACGTGTATGAAAAATGCGAGATATAACAGTACTATGTATTTCATTTCTTTAAAGTATATTTGACATTTTATTTTCACGAATGAAACGTTCACGTTAAATAATTTAAGATTTTCTTTTTTATTGGAATAATGAACGCATAATGATTGATAACGTGTGCGTGAAGCGTATGTCCACGTGGAAATCAAAGGTTCACAATCGTGGGTTTCCTTATCCGCGTCGTCATTCGTCACAGTACGCTGCACAGGAGTACGCTTAGCGCGCACTAGAGTGAGACGGACGGACAACCTGTTTACGATATAAGCGTACTCGTGTGTACACATACGTAGTACACAAGTATGTACACGACTACGTAAAGAGGGAAGCTTATACATAGTTTTCGTGGGAGCGTAGAATTGGTTTTTACCTTATGTTCAGAAAAATACGTGCACGTATATCGACAGATATCAAGTCAAACAAGGTTCGTGTGCCACTTTGTACTCCATACTTTCACTGATCGATCGTCCAGGAGTTCACCGGTCGAATCAGAGAATGCATTCTCTTTATAGAGCATCTACTAACCTTTGCTCGTATTTAAATTTTTGGTCTACGTGATAGCGTAACTGTATATCGTTTTATAAACTTTACCTTGAAAATAATCGCGACGTTTATTTTTTTTTTTATCGTTTCTCTCATGAATATGAAAAATCGATAGCAATCGATTTCGAAGTAGATGGCGCGCGATTCAAATGATTAAATTGCTTTCTCGTCGAAATTTTAAATATTTTCAACAGTATTTTCATTGAATTATAAAAATTATAATTGTAATTCCTTTTCGAATATTTTTCTACTTCGCATAAGAAATTATATTATTTACACACCTTATGTGTATATAT